GGGTCAGAGCAGTGCGCTTGTGCTCTGGGAAGGTTCCAAGTACCTGGTTCAATCCTTACAGACGGCACTCTGGGTCCCTGAGCAATACCCTTAACCCCAGACTGCACCCCAGGCGCCACACAATGGCAGCCCACTGCTCCCCAAGGGGAGGGGTTAAATGCAGAAAGTGAATTTCCCCATTGTGGGACAATAAAGGGATTTAAATTTATATATAAGTTATATTAAAAAATATTTGCATCGCCCACACTTCTGAAATCAAAATTTCAACCAAGACTTTATCTAGAATAAGCTCATTGTTTTGCTTAAAGGGTCAGACACTGCCAATACAATAAGTTAAAACAGAAGAGCCACATTGCTTTGGGCTCCTGCCTCTCCTTGTTTTGCTGTAATGAGGTGAATTTATTTTGTGAAACGAGAACATTTCAAACACAAGGTCACATGAATACTGGCTGTGGCTGAAAGCTGCCTCCTGTTTTTATGGTGCACATTAAAAGGCTGGCGGATGCCTGTTGGAAAGGATCCAAAAGGTCATGTGTTAGTGGGAGGGTTAATGATTCGGTTAATAAAAGGAAAAATATCAACCAGTGATGCGAAGTGATTAACCGGCATTTGCCAATTTAGAATTTATATTTACTTCGGAATACATGCTGCTTTATATTATTATGTGGTTGTTTACATTCAATCAGTATAATTGACTTTAAATAAGCAGGTGTTTACTTTTAGCGTCAGAGCAGGTTGCTTATTATGATTTTAACAGCGTTTTCTGCTCCCTGTGGTATGAAAATGATTGTGCAAACCTGCTAGTTTGTAAATGTATTTTAATATTTACCATGTTGATTACCTCTGTGCAGTAAAGTGTGCACATATGTGGTTGCCTAGAAGAAAATCTAAAGGTTAAGAAATGATTGTGTTACAAGCCCAAAACAAATCTGTTTCCTGGGTGGTAAAGTAGACAAGCGTGACATTTATAAAGTCATGGAGGTCTAATGAGGTGTAATAATACATATATTTGTACAGAAATTCCATTGTACAAACTTCACCTCCATGCACATGCAGTCGGATCCGTAAAATATCAGCCCCAAGCAATTATAACTGCCACATGATAATAAAAGCGCTCTATGGAAGTACAGTAAGTTATTCCCTTGCAAAATATTGCAGTGACGGATCGTAAAAGTGACTGGCAGGATCTAACTGGTCTTCTCTTCTGTTTGAGAATATTCAAGCTTGAAACAATTAATAGTTCACTTTTTGATATGTAAAAACTAGTACTGTCAATCGATTAAATTTTTTTAATCACGATTAATCGCATCAATGCCTGAGTTAACTCGCGATTAATCGCATTTTAATCGCAAATTTTTTTTCTGATTGAAAATCATTTAAATACTCTCGATGACATACAAAAAATACATACAGGCTAGGTTTGTGCCAATGTTCTTTTTTTTAATGAAAACAGGTCACAGACACTGATTTATGCCATAGAAACATATGGCAAGAAGATGGGGAGGCATGTAGCAAAAAATAACAAATATGTAGCCAAAAAAAGGCCCTGAAAACAGGCTGATGTAAAAGACAGTCTTTACAGTTAATACAGTCTTTTGAACAAAGACAAGCATTTTACCCTACTGCTATAAAATGCAGTAGAGTTAACATTAGATGTTAATTAACCAAGATAATAATGAACAATTTTCAATCAATACATCGAAATCAATAGACCGACATCACTAGCTGGAGGTAGTCTATGCTCTAGAAAGTTACTTTTCAGCCTCTTAACAAAAATGAGAACACACACCCACCCACCCACACACACACACACACACACACACACACACACACACACACACACACACACACGATACCGACCTGTGGCGTACACAGACAGCAAGAGTGCCGTAGCAGATTCCATTTCACCTCAGTAATCTGTTTTCTCAGCGTATTTCAGGTTGCTACTAGTTACCAGACACTCAACTTGTTTGTTGGTGGTGGGGCTTAAAGAAAAGGCACTAGCGCCACCCAGTGTATGAGCGTCTTTTTCCCTTGAGGAGCTCCGCTCTCGAAGCCTATGGGAAATGCATAGACTGGGGGAAAATAGCCCCGCCTTTCCGCAGGCTGCAGCGGGATGTACTTGGAAAATTGTACCATTAAACCACATAGCGTTAATCTCACGTTAAAAAAATAATCGCCGTTAAAATGGCCTCGCGTTAACGCGTTAATAACGCGATAATTTTGACAGCACTAGTAAAAACACTTCAGCGGAGTCAGCCAATTACCATGAATTATGAAAATGAAGGATTTATTGCCCAATTAAGAATCCAGACCATATATTAGATATCAAGATATTACATTACTTCTTTAAGCACTATACCAATGATGTCCCTCTGTTTTTGATATATCGTGCACACGTTGCATATGTTGCAAGGTACAGAATGGAAAGAATTCAGGATTTGATCTCACAGATTCCAAGGTAAAAGTCATGGCTGCTGACCAGTCAGCCAAAGTGAAACCCCCCCTGGCCAAGTGAATACACTCCACCGATTGGAGCCAATCAAGAAGGCCATGCAATGCATAATGTCAGTATAAGCTGACTCACTTACTTTATCCTGTCAGCTCGTGTTGGCAATGGTTCATTCTATCTAGAGGGAAGTTGGATTTTAATTGCTGCATTCAGAAACAGCTGATCAGGTATATAGGTCAATATTAGCTATGTCCTAATTATTATTATTAATATTATTTTTAATATGTTTTCATCTCCTCTTTAGTAGATTCAGGATTGTTTCAAAAAGAAAATCAAAAACCAATTTAAGCTAGTGTAAAAAACGTATTTGCGAAATTTAGTAATTTCATTTCATATTTGCTGTTTTCATGAAGCTCCTTAGATAATACACTTTAAAATGCACAAAATGAGATTATTGGAAAACAGAGTATTTGCATAGATTGCTATGCAAATGGCTGCTGTTAATAGTTGTGGGCTGTTTTTTCTTGTGTTCTATGTTTGCTAATGATATAGTCATGATACTGTCTGCTCCCATCGACACCGTTTAGTAACACCGAAACACTAGCATCCACCATTACTTTTTTTGTTGTTGTTTTTTTTTCAACATAGCTTTATTGATCATAAAGTCACAGTGAAATTTACCATTACCTCCGTAAATACTCTTCATTCTTCATCTGGGCGTGTCGGTCTCTTTTAAGTTCGAAACCCATCAGACCAAAGTCTGAAAGTGGAGGCATGTAATTAGGAGTATGAAAAACCACAAAAAGATTGGATTTCAGAAAAAAAAAAAATTGAATTTAGCATCAAGTTGCTGTATTGGCGTAGCCAAACAGCCATGTTGCTCTGGAGCTGTAGGCTGCAGAGTCCTGCACAAGACTACTACCACTCATTATAAGAACGCATTCATAGGCAAAGCATATTTTTGTTTTTCCTTAAATAGATACCCAGCAGTTTCAGAGTCATCTTGAATTAATCGTAGTCGATTCCGTCTGTAATTTCGGTATGAGGTGAAGACTTTCTGGCAGTCTTAGGCCACGTTCATACTGCAACCTGAAGTGACCCAAATCCGATTTTTTTGGCCCATATGCGACCTGTATCTGATCTTTTAATGGCTGTCTGAACAACACAGATCCGATTCTTCCAATGCGACCCAGGTCACTTGGCTATGTGGTCCTGAATCCAATACGAATCTGATCTTTTCAAATGTGACCTGTCTCTGAACAGCCAGGTCGCATTCATCCGACCTGAACGCCATAAATACCCGACAGAGGTCACTATTCTGGGTCTTGCTATGCAGAAGCGGGAAGAAAAACAACAACCATGCAGACAATAATGCGGAGTGTAGTCTTTTTTTTTTTAACCATCTTGAAAAGATTTAGTTTTTAAGGTTGGGAAAGTTTGCTAGATGCACTCCAGCACTACCTTCCATGTTTACTTACTTAAACATAGAGCACCCTTGCTTGTGATGTCATTGCGTCCTCTACTGCACATGCTGGACACTTGCGTTGTATAAATGCAGTTCACACATGAGATCACATACAGTTGCCATATATTTGGAAGTGTGAACGGAAATGCAACAAAAATCGGATTTTACAAAAAAAATTGAATTGAGCATTGAGGCCTCCAGTGTGAATGTAGCCTATGTATCTTGAATCAGACTTGGACTTGATTCATACTTAAGTTGCAAAAATAAAGACCTGGCTTTGACCCATGAAGTGGGACTCAGATCTCTTTAAAAAACCTTTCTTTTTTGCAATCAGGAGCAAAAACAAGTTGATGTGTTATCTGCCACTATGACAGGAGATCTCTCTACCATTTAATCAATTGTATTTCCTGTTGTGTTCATTTGGACATTTCACACTCCATGTCATTTACTCTGCAGACCATACTACACTAATTATCCTAACATTTATTATTTCTCTTGTTTACTCATGTTATTCATTTTTATGTAGATAATTACATGTTTTTCTAATATTTTTTGGATATTCCTTGAAATCACAATAAGGAGAAGAAAATTGTGAATTTAAGATTCATAGTGAACAATATGAACTTTAGGTCGATATGAGATAAACAGAACTACATTTGAGAAAAATTACTGCTTATAGTATTTTCAGTTTGTTTTTCTTTATATATTGCATTTACTTATTTATATTCCCTCTCTGTGAGCGAGCCAGACAATAATGCAAAATAATTGCTGTTCTTTTTTTATTTAACGTGTATCTAATGAATTAAAATCACATTTAATAACTGAAGAGCTCTAATTCAAATGTATGTAATGTAATAAGTATGTAAATGAAGTGAAATATGTTCTCCTGTTGTGATGCTAGTGATTGCACTTATAAAGCTTAAAGGCAAAAAAGTTTCCCAAGAAAAAAGCCTCTTCAAATGTTAGAATGCAGGAGGATATTGGTGAAATCTGAAAACAGTCATTACAGCTGGGTTGGTAGTAGAGCATATAATGAGGTGCACGACTGATTGCTTTCCTCATCCTGTTTCTCTTTTTCTGCAGGGGGGAGCCATCCAGAACATCGAGTCTCAGCGTTGCCTGGAGCTGGTGGAGAGCAAGCGATCAGAGCTCCCCCTCCAGCTGGCTATTCAGGACTGTACTGGTCAGAAATGGACCATTACAAACGTTTTGACTGTCCTGCCGCAGTGAACTCAGTTTGGATGAAGTTATGAGGCACATAAAAAAAAGCATTTGAATCCAAACAGTGGGGAAATGTTCCAAAAACTGTAAACTTTGGACATGTTGTTTCCCAGAATGTGGACAATAAATTACGTGCTTCAATTATGCACGGATCATCAATAACCTAATAACCTTCCCCTACCAACAAAATGAGCGAGGAGGCAGCCACAAACGGAGAAGATGCAGTTATAGCTTCCAAACCTGCAATCAAAATGACATATATTGTTAGTTTTTTAACAGGAAAGGCACATGAAACCATGGAGGCAGACTGTTCATCGCAGACGTGGGCTTGCTTTGTTATTTGGGGTCTCTGTCTGCAGTTTGATATGGTGCCTGAACCCCCATCTGTCTCATTGCACAATCATCGAAACAAAATATATGGGCGTAATTATAAGTGTGTATATTTTGGGGGCTTGAACACACTGCAGAAAACCTGTTACAATGAAAAGCAGCTGACATTTTTTCACAAATTATTCATGGAAGGCAGTAATAAGTTGTAAAAATCTGCATCGCAGGATGCTTTGAAATTATAGTATCACAAAAAGCAGATAGGGTGTAATGCAGAATATCAGCATTGTGACTTTAAACTCACACAGTGAAAGAAACTTTGAGGCTTCGGAAATAGACTGAACTGAAGCAAGAGCTCATTTTTCAATACATGTTTGGTCAGAAATGAGGATTTAAAAATTTGATGCGACCTCTCGTAACATTTTCAGAATAAGCACACGGAGAAGCAAAGATCTGTTATCATCACAGAGATTTCAGAAATAAAGAATTTTTCATTAACTTTAAGTGTGTTCGATTCAGAGGCTGCGTCCTCTAAGGACCCGGTACCTCCTGGACCGTGAGGAGGTTGGAAGAATTTTGGTTATGGATTCAAATAGGTCCAGCCTTCTCGGACATTCACCTCCCATACGCTTTATCGCCTAGCAACCGTAAAAGTTGACACACAAAGCAGGCAAAGAATAGATGCCGGACTTCTTACTAACGTTCTGTGTGCTAATAAAATTTTCGAGGAGCTTCAGCAGCAGTACCGTCATCGCGAATATCATATTTCTTTTCCCCACACTGCTCAGATATTGGAATCTATGTTTGTCAACCAAACACATTTGCACAAGGACAGAAAAAACATTAAATAAACCGAACATTATCACAAATATTTTCATAAATTTCAGACGGAATTATTCACATACTTGTATTATATTAAACTCCACTTACAATATTCACCACTGCTCTGCTCCATTTACCTTTTTCCTCTGAGCACAGAGCAGCCAGCCTGCTTGGACTCGAAATTTATCACGGGAACCCCAGGCTATGTAGGATACACCAGACCGATCCTTCAAAACGGGCTAAAAGAAGGAAGCATATGGCGGCTGTGTAACGAGTCTTCCAATCTGAACAGGCCTCTGCGCCGCGTTTTGATGTAATCGGGCGAAGAATCTGACCTTTGGAGAATGGAGCCGCTGAATTCCAACTCAGCAATGCTGTCAACACTGGAAGAAATGAATAATATTTTCACAACTTAAAAAGTCAGTTTAATTCACACTAATGTTTCATTATACAGAACTTATTGCTTCATGATAAAGTGGACTAAGACCTTTTTTTTTAGCAATATTGTCTCACTGTAAAAAATGAAACAATCTCTTGATACATTATTTTTCTACAAAATAATTGGAACCCTAACCTTTTGGCACCCTGCTGTTGTTAGTCAGTATAATCCTATTTAGGCCAATTTATTTACCAACTCCTTATCATATTTATGACATTTCATAAGGGTTCCGGCATACACTAAGTGAGGATCAAATATACTAAACTATGCTTTCTTTTCTTCACACTCCAACTCCGGTCCTCAGAACCCACTGCTCGACATGTTTTAGACGTCTCTCAGCTCCAGCACACCTCAATCAAATGATTGGATTACCTCCTCAGATGCTCCGATTGATTAAAGCCTACATTTATTATCAAGTATATTTTCTAAATATTTCTATTTAATTTTGAAATGTTGGGAAACTACGTAAGTGACTAATTTAAATATAACAAAATGTCCTTGATTAAGTGAATTAAGGGTTTGCATATTTTATCATATTATGGTGCATTGCATCTAAGGTTGTGTATATTTAGGTTCCTCACTTAAATGTTCTAAAAATCCCCATCAACATCTCATAAATCTTTAAAAGGAACAGTGTGTAACTAACAAACATCACCTCAAAAACTAAACCACTGTAATAGATTAGAATGAGTTTTTTTTTATAAATGCATAGGGGGCGGGGCACCCAATAGGAGACGCCATGTTAAATCCCAATTTTTGATCAGTTTTGTAACGTTCACATTTTCCTTGTATATGAAATATGTGCTGTCGGTGGCGAAAGACTTTAAATAAGCAAAATACAACAAACATCATTTTACTTTCTGCTGTCTATTGCAATGGAAGACCATCCATGCTCTTACCAAAAAAGGAAAAAAGTAATAACTGAGAGTAAACAAGTGTCCAAATTGGCACAGCTTTTACCGGGCGAAGACAATTTATGAGGGAGCTTCAAAATGGATGAGGAGGTTTCAGGCTTTATGATGGACAGGAAAGACAATTCAAAATAACAGTGAAGTTTATTGTGGTGTTCTGTTAAAGACAGGGCAGTGCAGTCCAGCAACTACAGTCTTTCTCCCAAACAGAGAATACTTGTCTATTTGTTAGCCTCCACCGACGAGCTCCAATGCAGCAGTTATCAGCTGCTGGTATTTTTAACAGAAGACAGACCAGACCAGCGAAGGCTTATTCCATGCCTGTGTTCAGAGAAATGTTCCCTGGGTTTAATTTTATCGAGTGATGGGGGTAGCATGTCACGCCACAGCTTCTGTAGCAGGTTTATGCTGCGCCACGCTGCAAGGTGAGGCACCAGTTGTTTGTTTATTATTCTGTTAGTGCTAATAAAATGAAATTTGGCGGCTTTTTGTTGCAAATTATCACCCAGTTCCATAAAACAGAAGCATGTGAAGAAGAATTATGGATCATGTTACAAAAGAATAAGGATGTTTATTAAAAGGAAATTGCAAGGCACAGGAGCTTGATTATCTAAATATTTCTGCTGTTTTGTTTCACTTAAAATGTGGAGCAATGAATTTGTTGGTAATACACTTTACTTTGCATTTAGCAGAAGTGTGGATCAAAGGCGCATGGAGGCAAATCATAAAAAGGCTGTGGAGAATTGGGACATGCTGGAACGCAGATTGAAGTATGTAAGGGCAAAAGCATGAGTACTGAAACAGAGCCTAATATATGCAGGACCAGGGTTGAGGACCTCTGATTTACAGGATCTAGATAGTACCATGATATCTTGCCATATAACATTTTCAAACATTACTGATAATGATGCAAAATTAAATAATTAGTCAGGTTAATCCAATGTCAAGCTGTCTGCTTTTCTCGGCTACTTTTAGAACACTATACTTTAACAGCAACGATATTCACAGCAGAGAACTGGAGAGGCAATCCTTGTTTATAATATAAAAACTTTGTAAGGTTGGCAGGTGCGTTGATTACTTTCCAAAGAATATGAGTCCACAGAAACGCTTCAGGGTAGATGTAAAGTGGATTCTCTTCTTGGCTTTCCTCCGTTTTCACTGACGCGTTTCTTTGATCACAGTAAAAAGCGCTCCAAGCCACTGAAGCTCAAGTGTTGCTTCAATATTACAGCAGAGATTTGGATTTATTCCACCCGGCTCTTTGGTTTGACTGACGCCAGACATCAGTTAAGAAGACACGGTATCCAGCTGAGTTGAATGAAACCAAACTAGTGATTGTCACACGATATAATAAAAAGAAACGGGGGAAAAAATGCAAAGAGTGAGCTGATGTTTGATAAATTCTAAAGATTTTCTTTTCCTCAGAGCTGTGTGACCAAAGTCAGTAACACTCGGATTTAAAGATGAAACAAACATGGAACAGAACATCAGCCCCTCTCTCTTGACCAGTTTGATGAACATCATTAAAATCAACCTTTTTTTCTCTGTCCATATAACAAATCCATTTCCCCCTACATATATCATCCTTGTGAGAGATGCTTGTGCATCTACTGTGTTCTGATAACACCTGTTAGGGTTTATTTTTAGATTTTTACTCAAAAAGAGCCTTTCTGAGCTGTAATATATTCATATTTCTAAAGTAGTGGGAAAAAACAATAAAGAAAAACATAATTTTAAAAGTCAGCCAAAGGTTGCTGAGGAGAAACATCATCGATGGAACAACATAAAGGAAAATACATAGAATTTGAGACATCTTATGCCCAAATTGAGCTTATATAATACATTATTTTCTAAGTGATAATAAGGAAACAAACTTTTTTGTTGTTGTTGTTGTTTTGTTTATTATTTTTTATGTTTTTCCTTTTATTGTTAGGGTCGAAGTTATCAATTATGACCATAGTACCATACTAATTCAAATCCCCCCCGACAAATACTTCCTCCCCTTGCTACGGAGAGGTGAATTGAACCCAGCAGAAACATTTAATTAACTGCTATTTCTTTGTGTTTTTTCTTTTTATGATGGACCATTCTTGCTCCAGATAATAAAGCTTGAAAAATTACAGACAGTTTATTTTGAAGGAGAAGGTGAATGGCTGGATAAGAGGCAGTTACAGATTGGAAAACAAACTGTTACCACCTGCCTTTTTATCTTTTCTAGTTTAAAGGTACATAGCAACATTATATGCCTATAATAAAATGACCATAAAACATTCTATCATGATAAATAAGATCAAGGTATGAACCAATCAATCAATGTATCTATTTGGCTGAACAATTATGCAAACAATTAAAATTTGTTATTTTTTTAACCAATATTGCAATAGTGATTCCATTTCAATTATTCTTTGCATTAACCACAAGCTGTAGATGTTTTTCTCCAAAGATTCAGTTTTTTCATAACTTTAAAAGCTTGATTGTCCAGAGTCCATTGCTGTAGGACGTTACTTTATCCTTTGTGAAATGTATCCTAGTGAAAAAAGTGCTTACTTCTAATTGCATGTATGGATCTGCACCAGTGGCGGTTCTAGACCAAATGTTCCAGGGGGCCGGGAGGGGCCAGAGTGGTTTCATGAGGGCACAGAAAAGCATGGAGCAAAAAAAAAAAAACGGGCAAGGTATTCAAATATATTAAAAGAGCTGCATGAAGTGAAATTTCTTCAATCAGGTTTGATTATAAATCTTAATTTTAATTCTTCTAACTGAACATTTTTATTTTTGGCTGAAAAATGTTCATTTGGATTATCGTTAAAATAAAAATCCCTTAGCATAGCAAAAATGCAACTCAAGAAATGGTAGCTATATAAATATATAAAAAAAAAGATAAAATAAAGCTGTTATTTGGAATATTAGGTCAATATACATTCAACATTTAGGAATTTGATATATTTTTAACTTCATTTAAGTTAAAAAATTATAGTTTTCTCTAAAATCAGAATTAGAACTCAAGAAAAACTGATAAACTTAGCTGTGAAAGTTAGAGTATTTTTTATTTGTTTTAAAGAAAACAACAGATGAAAACTGGGATCCT